CCATACCATACCATACCATACCATACCATACCATACCATACCATACCATACCATACCAGCACTTCAAACAGCACAAGGCCAAACAAAGTGCTGTACAGTAGACAGACTCAACGGGACTTAGTTGAAATTACAGTTAAAATACAGTCAAAATACAAAAAAGGAGCATTTATATTTACAGTACATATAGAACAGAGTTATGATACACAGTGAGTCACTGAGTTTATTTTGAGTTAAATATAAGAAATTGTGTGCATTTTYCCCCTTTACTGTTTTAAGTGATAGTTTCCATTTGTGTTTATGTTTAAGAACAATAAATATCTTACCTGTTGTAGATGGCTCGTTAGACAACATCWGTTTGGAATAATAGAGTTTATTTCTGACTGGATCGTAAAGATAATGGGTCATCTGAGCAGGACCAAGTCCAATGTGGATTTTTGCCATCTGAAAGAATTCATCTCTCAGGAAAGTACTGCTTTATAAACATTAATGCCAGTTTTGCACAGCTTCATGTAGTTTCTTGTTATCACAGTGGAGCTGCAGCTAAATGTAGCACTTCTGCTGCAGCCTGGGCTGTTCYGAAATCTGTCTGTAACAGGTAAGATAGTTATTGCCATAAACGTTTTAGAGAACCCCRCTTCCAAAGATCTGAACTGACCCTTTAAGGTGGCTCATAATTTATTTAGATGGTGAGGCATTTAAAGTACAGCATGTACAGTAACCACTTACCACTGTAGACCACTTACCATATAAGTGGTGCAGCTTTGAGTTAAGCTGCACCTCTTTTTAAAGTTGTTTTAAGTTTTTCAAGTTTTCTGACCATCTTAAAAGTTCTAATTTGGAGCATTTTTTTCTGCTATTTTTAGTCTTCTGGTGTCTCAACGCTGTATTTAGTTTATTAACTTTGCTGGTTCTGTGTTTATTCAAGCTCAGCTCCAGTTCTGGCGAAAGGTGATTGTGGGAACTCACCACGTTTGCCCACAGGCCTCGTAATGATTTGAATTGACTTCGGATTGGCCAATTGTGCTGCGGAGCTTATTTTAGTTAAAYGCCTCTTTGGTTGCAGAACATGGGAGAGAAGGAACAGGCGGCTCCGTTTGCCAAATAAACACGTTTACTGACGACGCTGGTAATGATCTCATTACACTGAGCCAATACACCTGTGTACGGGTGGGTGGGGGTGGTGGGGATCCAGAAAGGGGCGCCGGGCCAGGGAGGACAAACAAAGCGTGAAATCACTAAATCACACTCATTATTGTGGGATATCAGTAGGGCCAGGATCCTAATGTACCATGAAGAGCATTCACTGCTTAATGGACATTTTGCAAATTTTTTATGCTTTTTATACATCACAGTAAAACACAATTTCAACAACAGCCGAGCCGTTTACTGTATTTTTGTTACCCCGTTAAACCTCGGCGTGAGCAAAAAAAACAAACAAACAAAAAAAACAAAAACACAATCAAAGGTTTGTGTTTTTCATCACCCAGGGTTTAAGAACGATGGGATCACGTCTTCTTCACGTGTTYGCGTGTGTTCATATCTAATCCAACAAAAACAAACCTGAACGAGCTTTCCATGTAAAACAGCTTACGACGTGTGTCGATCCGCCAGAGCAAAAGAACCTGCCGTCTGACCTCCTGTCATGTCGCAGCGTCAGCGTCCCGTGCTGGAACAGGATCCGTTCGTTGTACACCTGACCAGGAACTAATTTCAWCGCAGCCCTCTCCGCCGGTAACACGGGCGAGGGGGTGGGAAGTCTCTGTTACAGCAACTCCGCTCTCGTTATTTCACAATTAATGTCAAGCCCCTGTTATTTGTCATTGCAAATACATGGCTTCGGCACGGCTGCTGTTGTCGCTGCCATATTCTAATTTGTTCTCTATTATGGAAAACACTGGCGTCGATTAATTTCACTTTCATGGTTTGTACACACAACAAGTGAGTGTGAGGTGTTGTTGTTTACCAAAAGTCACTGCTCTTGTCCAATTTAAACAAGCTTGAACAAAATCTCTTTTGAACCGTGACATGTTTGGGGGAAAAATACTTTTAATTTTGAATATACTTTATCCATTATACCAGACATATCCGTAATCAGTTGTTTATTTTTTATTTTTTTTGTGTGTAGTTACTTTTTTATGCATTTGACTCTTGTTTTTTCTCCATTTAATGATACACTATTTAAAAATCTATATAAGTGGTTTTATACCAAGATGAAAGAATTTACAAATTACAGTTTTTGGCTTCAAATTTAGTTGACTTTTTTGGTTTGAGCTCAGTTGCTGCTCCAGAAAAACAACCTGAAGCTTCATGTGTTTTATATACAGCAGTCTATAAAGCAGAAGAAACACTGAGTGTCTTTTTAAAATTATTTTAGTACAATTATACACGTGGAGTCATTCAGAAAATGCCGTCATTTTGACAATGAGAGAAATTGTCCTTTTTTTTTTTTTACCTGAGTGGCAAATTACCAATTTTTTTCCATCTTCTTGTTTTTATTTTCTGTTCCATTTCCTGTGAGTGAAACGATCTTTGCTCTCAGCCTCCATCCCCTTCATTACACCTAATAAGGTGTCATATAATTTCATTTCCATGCTTCAGTTGTCAGAAAGGGATTCCAATCCTACTCCAATTTTGAGTTTTAATAGATATTRGTCCTTAACACTCTTCTAACAATTAGGGGCCTCCCAGTTTTGCTCTTAATGAAAATCAGATTAAGACATATAATCTAATTACAGTCCATATTAATCCACCCTCTGATGCACTCTGCCTACTGCTCTGCCTCTCAGATCCTTTTTGGCACAATCAAACACGAAGCCTGACACTTTGTCAGTCAAATGTCCAAAATATAATTGAGACTTTTCTTTTAGTTTTTTTCCTTTTTAATTTCCCCCCCCCCAAAAATGCAACCTGCTATTAAGGCTACCATTGAAACTGCTGTAAACGTCAAAAGAAATAAAAAAATATGGTTAAGGAAAAAAAGTTACCCTCGTAAACTCATTCAACCTACGGGATGAAATGACCCATTTAGACTTGTAATTTAGAAATGAACTTCTCTCCCTCTATCTGCAGTTTTTGTCAGTTTTATCGTGACTACATGATTTGGATGGAGTCATGTCGTAGACTCGGACTGATAAATTCTGTGCGTATCTGTGGACTTCGTTTCATGGGGAGTGGGGGGGGGGGCTTATCAGAGACCCGTTTGATGTGCTGAAAAATCACACCGAGGTTCAGTTTGAATGACGGATCTGTTTTTGTTGCTCATTTGACTCCTTTCATTATGAACAGTGCTTTCTTAATTATTGCCATCACTGTGTAATTATTAACATAATTAACAACCCCCCCACCTCCACCACCCCCCGCCCCAGTTTGACGCTAACTCGGTCTGAGCGGCGACGTGTTCTGGAGGCGCTGTCGGTCAAATTCAGAACTTCATCAGAGATGAGACGAAAAAGTCTCGAACCACAATGATTCAATCAGTTTCATCACTTCAGAGAGAAATGATTAACTCCCCCTGCTAGACCACTGGGTTACTCAATAAAAGAAATTACATGGAAAATTGATGAGGGTTTTAACTTGCACCCACACACCCCCACCCCCCCTTCTTCCCCTTATTTGATTTAGTTCAGTAAAATCAAAGATATTTTCAAAAATGAACTAATCTTTGAAGCCTTGCTCACTTTTGCTCTTATTTTTTTGTCTTTCTGCTTGTGTGTGTGTGTGTGTGTGTGTGTGTGTGTGTGTGTGTGTGTGTGTGTGTGTGTGAAACTGCTAGATCTTTTGCTCTACATGGTGCCCATGTGATTCTGGCGTGTCGAAACCTGTCCCGGGCCAGCAAGGCAGTTAGCCTCATACAGCNTTTTATGTTTGACTGGATTGACAAATATTTTTACAAGCATGAGTTTTTGCATGTTTGAAGGTTGAATAWCTCTTGAATTTTAATTCTAAATGAAAGTGTGTGTGTGTGTGTGTGTGTGTGTGTGTGTGTGTGTGTGTGTGTCAGGCTTTGAAACTGCTAGATCTTTTGCTCTACATGGTGCCCATGTGATTCTGGCGTGTCGAAACCTGTCCCGGGCCAGCAAGGCAGTTAGCCTCATACAGCAGGAGTGGGTAAGTCTGATGATCTGTGAAGAACCCACACATTTCTTTGGAAACTGAGAGGTCTAGAATCCAGTCATGTCAGTATACACTGCCTCTAAAAGTCTCTAATATTTAGTTGGACCGACTTTAGCTTTGATTACGGCACACGTTCGCTGTGGCGTCGTTTGGATAAGCTTCTGCAATGTTACAAGATTTATTTCCATCCCGTGTTGCGTTAATTTTTCACCAAGATCTTGCATTGATGATGGTAGAGTCTGACCTTCTCCAGCACATCCCCAAGAATCGAAATGGACTCTGTGGAACCGATCCACGTGGAAATGATGTCTCATGCTCCCTGAACCACTCTTTCGCTATTCTAGCCTGATGAATCCTGGCATTTTCATCTTGGAATATACCCGTGCTATCAGGAAAGAACAAATCCATTGATGGAATAACCTGGTCATTCAGTATATTCAGGTAGTCACCTGACCAACTGCAGCAACCCCAGATCATGATACTTTGGTAATATAACTACTGCCAAACAATAAAAAAGTTGTCACCTGGATTTAACTAAGTTTTTATGCATGTATAATATGATCTCGAGTATAATACGATCATCATTTTTTGAACTTAAAAAGCATAAAAAATCTAATCGTCAATAACCCATGTACAATTCTACTCCCCCACTTCCTGGATGATTTTTAGGGTAAAATTTTTTATTATATATGAATAAATACAGTACTTTCAACGAATCACAAAGCCAGGATTGAGCTGATCCCCGCCTCTCGCTCAGAGACCTCTGGAGAGGATCAGCAGATCCCTGTGACCCTGCATGGAAAAGTGTGCATCGTTGCTTTTATGATTTGAAAACTGTCCATTTGTTTTTATTGATGTAATCAGAAACAAGTCTGAAACTTTTACAGTGGCGCTCTTTTGCATTCCAGTATGAGATATTTGTTACACTTTACATTAAATTAATGTTTTCCTGGAACGGATGGTGGTGATATTTGTAGGGTGGTCTAACAGATGTATAATATAGATATAAAGTCCTTCTGCTGAAACCAGGTCACAGAAAAACTTGTTTCCCAGCCGACACTAAAGAACAGGAAGTGTTAAGCTGATCCTGAAATAGCTGAAGTTATTCTAACACAGGTTGTTGCTCAATAAAACTGTAATTTGCATAAATTCTCTCAGCATGACTATAAATGACTGACAAAAAAATAAAAGTAAAATATTTTGAACATTCGAGAGGGACTTATTTTTTTAAATTACTGCAATAGGTAAAATCTAAACGTTCACGTTCCTAAAACCTGCCTGCATAACTCACAGTTCACAGGAACAATAAGCAGCCCTCTGCCTCCCTGTGAAGTAAGAGTTAAAAAGAGGAAGGGAGGGGGAGGAGGAGAAGTGAGAGGGCATCTGATAATTACCTGAGATTATTGCTCTAATATCACTGCACTTGTGACATGTCCCCAGATTTACGAGTTTGGGAAAATAAACAAGCGAAATGTGGGTGCTGGAGCAGAAAGAATAAGTCATTAGCGCTGGGTTGATTACAGAGAGCAGGACTCGAAGATGGAGGGGAGTGAGTGCTCAGCGCAGATATGAGAAGAAAAGGCTGAGAGGGAGGAAAAGAGGRGGAGGAGGGAGGGGAGGGAGACAAACGCCTTTGAGCGCGAGTAGATCTACAGTGTTTAAACTCRCCAAACTCCCTAATTGAAGTATGCCCCTGGGGCTGTCAGAGCTGCACCACGGTGTGAAATCCACTGCTTTGTTTAAACGAGTGAGGAAAAGCTCCCAGCACCAGAATTTGTGGCACAATTGATTTTCAAGCTTCACACCTGCCACAAATTTCTCTGCAATGGTAAATGTAGGCGAATTAGCAAGCGAAAGTGGTGTGGAATTTCTTTTAAGGAATAAATGACGGGTGTAAACGCTTATCGCATGTTTTTATATATCGAATTAGAATTGCGTGTATGAAGATTCTCCTTAAGTTTAGCTGAATTAAGGTGTGGAATAATTTCACTAGAGCAGTAAATTACCATTTCTGAAGCCGTCTCCTGATTTCCTTCTCAGGAATCCCCCTGTTATAGGCTAATGAATAAAAGTCACAATATCAGAATAAATCTTTGCCGCAAATTCTCCCCTTTGGCAACATTATTAATAGATTCATGAGAAGAATAGAGAGGAGGATTAATCTTTAAGATGATGGATGGCCTCTGCTTACCTTCCCATGCTCCTATGTTAAGGTCATTCTGATAAGTGAGTATATTTTAGGGTCCTCTGTAGAAAAGGTCACCATATCTACTTCCAGGTCCGTTACAGAGTTCCGCTSCGGCTGCCAGGAGCGAAGCAGTTGTCCCGATTGTAGGAGACCTCTGACCTCTAACTACCTGCTTACTATGACTTGAATCTCTCTCTTTCTCTAACTCTTTTTTTTCCTCCTCTGTCTGACTGAGTGGGTTGGTGCTGGCGCTCAGAGGTGAGAGTGATTGCTCGCTCGTAGCGCAGGGCGGTGCGGTTCAGCACGGCACCGTGTACTGACAGTGGGTATAATAGTGAGGTCGGCGATGGATAATGGGCAGGTCAGAACGGCTAGGAAGTGCAAGGTCAGAGGGCTCATCCTTCCCAGCCGATCTCCCCCCCAATGCTGCTGTTACAGTACGGAACAGAACAATGCACCTAATGGAAAATTCCTGAAAGAGAAAAATCAGTCTTGTGCCTAATGTACCTTATCATCAGCTWAGATGGATTTATTTTTGTGTTTGACATATTAAACTGTTTTTTTTCCTTTTTTGATCAGGTCAAGCTTTAGTTGCATCGTTCCACTCGAACAGGCTTCATCTGAGCAGAATGTGGGGCTGTCGCTTCCATTTTTTTTGAGCTGTGAGTTGAAACCTCTCCAAGAGGCTCATTAGAGGAGTTAAGAGTGGCAGAGAGGGGATAAACATTTACCCTGTGATTGTGTTTTACAATTAGCTCAGTGCTGGCTGCCTTCATAGGGTTCAAAAGGTGCTGCTTTTATAGGCTGTGATGGAGCAACAGTAAAACCATGGTATTAGGCAGCAGAAGTGGGTAGGGAAAGAATGAAGAGATGCAAGAGTTAATAGATTCAATTCAGTTTATTTATTAAGTGCCAAGTCACAACAAACTTCAACTCGGGCCAGTGTGCAAAAAACAATCAATCTAAAGAAGMYAGCAGATGAAGAAGTGAAAATTCAACRCCGTCCGTTTCCCATCCTGAGCAGCACATTTGCGACAGTGGGAAGGAARGACTTTCTTTTAATGAAGAAACCAGCAGAGCAGACATCTGCCTCRGCCGGTTGGGTTCAGGAGGACAGGAAAGAGGCACAAACAAATACAAATGACTGCTCCAGGTTTATTTCTCCTCTGAAAAATAGAACAACTTGTTGATAGAAATAATTAAAGCAGCAAACGTGTAGAGGAGAGTGACTAAAGACAGCAGCAGAGTGAGGAAATGTGGTCAGTTTGCCCTCAAACAGTCTAAACCTATAGCAGCAGAACTAAGGAATAACTCAGGAAACCAACTCTGACTRCAGGATTTATTAAAAAAGTCTTGTCTTAAAAGTAGATGGAGTGTCACGAACAGAACCTGGAAGTTGGTTCCACRAGAGAGGAGCTTGATAACTGAAAGATTTAGATGTGCTACACAAACCAAGTCACATTTGTAAAGCCTAAAACTGATTAAAAAATAATATTAAAGCAATAATACAGAGTTTTTGAAGTGGGGTTCTGTGGAAATGTCCTGAACAGTTAATATCTTACCTGTTGTAGATGTGTTCTCATGGTAGAAAAATCAAACAAAGTTGAACCAGGTCCTCTGGACCCAGCACAGAAGAGCAACATCATCAGGTCAGGACTCAGTTTACACTCAGCTGCATCTCTCAGCTGGTCTCTACTTCAGGGATAAAGATGTTCTCAACCTTGATAGGGAGGAACATTGGTTTGGGAGAGGAGTAAAAGAAGCAATTTTGTGTCTCCATGTCCAATTGTCCCCCTCTTACAATTCTGTTATTGTGATTACGATTCAGTCTTCTGTGAACAAGTGGACATCAGGGCACGAATGATGGTTCGTTAGGCTGATGGTCCTATTTGCATGTGAACAACCAGTTTTAGGTGTTGCTGGTAAACTGGCTGATGTGATTCGATACGGTGATAAGATGGTACTAATTATAAGACTGAGCTTACCTGCAACTCCTTAGACTGAAGACCTCTCTTGGAGAAGAGACAAAACGTTTCAATGAAGAAGAACCCGTCCAGAGGACCTGACTCAACATTTTTAGACCAGGGGTTCTCAAACCATTTGGGTCTGGGGACCCCTTACAAGGACAAAAAGAAAAAA